GGCCCCCGCCCCTGCCCAGTCTTAACTCCAGATTACTCCTTCCTCAAGTCTTCATGTACTGAAAAGCCCTTCCTTCCTGAGGTACGCAACATCTCAACCCGGAAAAAAGACCTCGAGCGACCGCGCAGAATGGATCAAAAAAAGTCGTCGCTCATCGGTAATCAGAAGGTTTTAAATCGCTTCTATGCAGATCCTTCGCCCATTTTGGGAGCTTGCGATCACGCTCGAAGACGAAACCGCAATTGTTACACAGAGTCTGGCCGATGCATGTTAGCAGAATATTCTCTAAAGGATGGAAGACTCAAACCTTAGGGCCAAGCGGACCGTCCCGAATCCCCCAGACCGAAGTACCCCAGATCTGACAATGCCTACATCTCCATGACTGTCGCTCAAAGTCCGAGAGAGACCCACCCCCGCCGTAACTCTGCGCTCCAGCATCGGGGGTGCCTCTTCCTCCAGACCTCATCGGACTCAAACTTCTGAACCTCCGCTTCTTCTTGTTGCGCTCGCCTCTACCCATACGATCTTCGGATGGCTCGGGGTCGAGGTAACCTTTAGCCTCAGCTTGCGGGTTGCCTCCGATCATCATAGCTGTGGACGAGAATCGAGCTGTCTCGCGTCTCAATCTTCTAATCTGCCGCTCTCGGTCTCCTTCGCGCTTCTCCATCTCATCCTTGGACAGCATTTCGATTTTTGGTGCCCAGTCACCTGCCAGATGCTCGTTATCATATCTCCAGCCAGCCTCTGCTGCGTGAGCTGCTTCGTTAGGTATGTCAACACCAAATCCAACGACAAGACCTCCACTCTCGCAAGCGTCCTTCTTCAATCTCAGAACAGCTTCGTAGATGGCATGAGCCATGGCTGGAATCCACTCTGCGGGCAGACCAATATCAGCGCACGTTTGCTTGGCAAATATCTCGGCTGTTCCAGGGGGGTGCAACAGCGACCACTCAAACTTGTCCGTATAGAGCCACTCCGACAGGTTGATGTTCAAATTGATGATGCATCGATATGTGTCATCCGGGTTGAAGTCATCGGAATCTGGGGTTATAGGAGCCGCGGAAGCTGTGACGTCTTCCGGCTTTGGCTCTGTGTTTACTCTGTTTGGTTTGCTGTTACCATTTTGCATAGGTATATCGTTTCCACTGGCTGGCGTTGATGAGGCCTCTGTTGAAATAAGGGCTGGCTTTATGGTCGTCTCAACGATGCCGTCCTCATTGGCCGTCTCCTGGGTGTGGAAGAGGGGGTGCAGAGCAACACCAGCATATTCCTCTAGCTGTGTCCGGATTTGTTTGCTGATATCAGCTGCCGTGTTGGCACGGTTGGGAAGATCAAGATCCTGCACCAGAGTTTGAGCAAACTGATCTGTCGTAATCAAGGTCTCGTGCAGATTCCACAGGAAGATATCCTTCAGGCGATACGGTACCGTCATCTCTTGTGACTTGTATTCTGGGTTGTTAAGATTGATGTTCGTGCCGTACGGAATGTTTACCGGAGGTGGAAGGGCAGAAGGAGGAATGAACGCGGGGATGTCAAGGTCGATTCGGATGGGGATCAGAGTCAACGGCAGAGAAGCTTGGGCGTAGTTCTGTAGGTCCGACCTCGCGTTCCGCATCTTTCCCATCCATTCTCTCCATACACCTTGGACCTCGACCGGTTCTGAGGCTACCTTTCCAACCTTGTCGCCAATGTCCTGTTTCGCCGCGGCCAGATCTTCCTTTCGTATGCTCCTCAAGCCAGTCGGTCTTCTCCTACTATCATCATCGTCGTCATCATCATAATCATAGCCGTCCTCGGCATAGTTGATCGCCGTCGTTCCTCTCTTGGTTGTTCTTGATAAGGGTGCCGCGAGAGCTGTCGCAGGTTGAATTACCGGGGTGAGAAGTGAATTGGCATAGGTGCGCAATCGAGGGGCATAGCTAGAGATGAAGGCCTGCGGATCCGCATCAGGCTGCTTCATGATGGCCAGGGAGGCTCAATTTCCTCAGTCGAGAAGTTTGGATCCAGGGACTGCTGAGATGCACAGGGAGGCGCGACGCGCGGGGAGCGTCTGGCGCTGGCGCGATGCTCAGAAACGCTTTTCGAAAAGGGCAAAAAAGCGCAATCGCACCAAGAAGCTTTGCGCACTTAGGGCAATCGATTCGAAGTTCTGGTGTTGTTGTTGAGAGTTTGAAAGACGTACCTCGTCTCTTGGATTGGCTGGCATGGTTGTGAGGCCGGCGCGCTCTCGTCACGAAGATTTAGCCATCTACGCTAGAGCTTCTTAGTGGCCCCGAGGTTTTACCGAGCCTTCCACTCGAGGTAACTTTTTTTCTTTTTTTTTCGGAATTCCTTCCTTGACTATTTTCCAAATACTCGCTGGTGCGAACAACAATTCTTTTTTCACAAAGTACAAGGCATATCTTCTTTCACGCGATCTTTCAATAGCTCTCGGACGATGGACTTGGCATGTGCCATAGTCACACACATTGCGATAATGACTACGGTAGCTCTAGACTCTATTCTTCAAGACCTAGTTAAGGCGGACCTACTCAAGGCTCCACACTCCATTTTTTAGGACCTAATATGATGGCGTATATCTAGTTTTTCTACTCTCTATGTCACCACTGCATAGCGTATGGGCTAATGATCGTGCCTGTCCTTAAGAATATTTTTCTTAATTCCAAACTGTTCCTTACTTCCCTGATGATGTTCAGATCAGTCGTCAATTCGATCTCAGCTGGTCTGAACCTCAAGAGAAACTCGAGAAGTCTCAAGCATTATTATTTCTTCCTAATCGACTACATCTTTACTTAGGCCCACGGCTCGATGTCTGATCATCATTGCTCCCAGTGCCCGGCCAAAGCGCTCCCGCCTACACATTGCTGTGTCGTAAAATTATTCTTCGAAAAGTTTCCCGACGATTTAAAAATTATCATCATTAGGCGTATGATCACCCCCCAGAAAGTGGTACGTGCCGACACGCGTTTCTTTCAGTATATCGAGACTCGGCTTTGAACAGATGCCCTGGGAGCCGGGATGTCGCTTCTAAGCTGTGGGCATCTTTGACAGGGCAATGCTAACTTCCTAGTGCGAGAATCATATCATCGATGAGTGCTGGGAACCGTGGTTATGCAAAGATGGATCGCATCAAGCCACAAAAGAAGGCACCGCGGAGTACTCCGTCGTCCATCTACCATGCCCGGCTCTCACATTCATAAGCCCTTTCATCCACGATGAAGGCTATTTACAGTTCTTCCGGAACCATACCTTTGTCTTCGATGCCTTAAGCGAGAAGTCAAGGCAAGAATTGACACTACGTCTCACTCAAGAGAGATTCACAATCGAAGGAGATGGGTCAATTAGCGACCAATCCAGGGTTCTCTACAGCTACACATACCCCGTCGCGTCGCGCCTCCTCGACACCATTGACCACCCCGAATGGACAGGCATAGGCTCGGAGCAGTTCCAGCAGGAATGCGATGATCCTGAGGCATACCAACAAGTCGACAAGTACCGCCACCAAATAAGAAGCATCGTCTTCCGCGGCGCAGGCCCAAAGGAGTGGTCGTTTCTAGACTGGAATAGTGTTGACTGGACGCGACCTTTGAAAGTCGACTGGAAATCGCTGCCAAGTCTCGAGCACCTTGTCTTGGATCTCAGAATCTGCACGCTCCTGATGGATACATCCTCTCCAGAGGACCTCAAAAAGACGGCGAACGTGAACATCCGAGAGGGCGCAATGAGAATGCAAGGGCTGAACTTGAAGTCTTTGATCATCTACGGTCTCTGCAGCAAGCTTCTCTGCAGTGAAGATCCGAGTTACATGCCGATGATCAAGGAAATGTTTGGAAAGACTGTGCGTGTTGGCGGCAAGCTGGAGCTTAGAGATCCAGAGACATATACGGGCTGGTAGGGAGACTATGGACGCCGATAGTCTCCCTCCTTCCCATTCTCTCACGCCCTGAAGAGATACCCTAGGACGGGCAGAGAGAGCATTGCGCCCATAGCTGCTGCAATGTTGCGAGTAGTCTTGTATTGACTTTTGGAGGGGGTTGTTCAGGTATAGAGAGGCTGAAAACGGGTCTGAGTCTGAGTGTCACTGTTGAAGTTTGTAACGGTAGCAGATTGTTAGAACTGCGCAAATGACTAAGCGCGAGAGATTGAAGTTCTCTTTTTGTCGCCAAATGTACTCTGGATGAACAATTTTGCTTTGCTCTACTGGTACCCTACTCGCTATCATGATGTCAGTGGATTTCAGGGCTGATCCCCGGCACGCGTGGATGGGATGAGCATGGGCATGGGATGTAATGCAATGCAGATCGAATATCGGCTAAGTTTAAAAAATGGTGTCGGAGGGAGCTAAAGGGTCTCCCAGATTTACGTAGTAATACCGTAATAGTACGTACCAGCTGCGATATACTACCTTGTGGTGTTACCTAGTTGATAGTTTACAACTAGTAGTGGTACTACCTACGTAGTAGTAGTAGTTGAACGTAGTAGTTTTACTAGTTGTAGTTGTACGTAGTACTACGTAATTGGTACGGCGCATAGTAGTATTTTTCTGAAGCTTGAAGTCAAATGGACTTTTACAAAAGCAAAACGAAAGTCCGAACGAAGAAGTACTGTACTACTCTCTGTACATGCTCGTACTACAAATAGATACATACCTTACCTCAGGTACATACTACTACGTTTAGACAAGAGAAGAATCTATCTACCTTTTTGCTGTTTCAACGCTGGGACGATTTTGTTTACTTGCCAGAGCTCCGTACTCTTCTTTGTTGTCACGTCCGAGACCTGCTTGCCCAGTGCCCATCGGAACTGTATACGGAGGCCGGGCGTACCTTAGCGAGAAGTGTATATTGCTCCCAGCAAAGCCAAAAGAAATGCAAATCAAAGCGTGCAGCAGCGTACCTGTTGTAGGTACCTAGTAACTGCGTCTTGCTTCTCGATGCTTCTCAAAATGAAACCTTCTCTTTCTCTTCATCTGCCCTCCTGCGCGACCGCGATCGGTACGGTAGCCCAACCTGGCGTCGACCGAGTCCCTAATTACCCTCATCGTCTCATCGTCTCATCGTCTCATCGTCTCATCGTCTCTCCCCTTCCCTCCCCTTTGCACGTCCCTTGGCCATCAGTCTATTTCAGGAGAACTTTCTCCCGTCGGCTACCTGCATACGACTACCTACAGTATCTATTTCTATCCCACCGCCATGGGCCATCGATGCTGACAAGAGGATTCGCGCAGTCCTGACTTAGTACCCAGTCACTTTCCTCCTACGGTCCACCTACCTACCTCATAGAGCTAGAGCTGAAGATACCGACCCATACCATCCCCCATCAACCAATCCCCCACGGTCGGTCGGTGCGCTCCACCTGAATCCTCCCGTTTTGCCTGCCGGTGGTTTCGGAAGGCCAGTCAGTGTGCATCCATCCACCGAGCTGCGCTGCACTACGCTGCGCTGCTCAGCCTCCTCCATACCATACTGGTCGCATACCTACTGCATACCCGCAAAAAAACCAAAGCCAAAAACACACCGCCCCAGAAACCCGCAGCGCCGGTGCTCGGGAAATACTTACTGTGTCTGGTGGCGACCAGATTCCGATTCGGCCTAAGCGCAATAGCTGGCTGGCTAGCTGGCTAACTACATACATACTTCTCCCGTCTGGGGCAGTCATGGACGGCTACATCACCCCTCCCCCAATACCCCATCGCACCCGCCTGCAGGCCAGACGCAAGTCACCCCAGGCTGCTAACCGTGTGAAAATACAACCTGCCTCGCCGGAAGTCATATCGTCCTTGATCACGTCGCTTTCCATCATATCATCCCCGGCGAGTCAACTGTTCGAAAATGCCCCTGACGCGTCGACGGCTGCCCTAGCTGGAACGAACAACAAATTTCATACATTTGGACAGACAGGATCTAGCAATGGGCCGAGATCATCAGGTGGAAGCTTTGGGATAGATTACGGCGCGTTCGAGCAACCTTCCCTGCGCAATCTGACTGCACAAGACATGGAAGAAGACCTGGACGAGCTTGCAGCCCCGACTCCTGTCGTCCGTACTTCCAAACCACCCTCTGGCTTCTCCCCGCTCACTGCACCGTCGCCAGTGGATCCGAACCCCTTCAAGACATTTCTGCGAGGTGGCTCAAGACCATCGTCCAAAGGATCGATTGCATCGAAAGATGACACCAGCAGCATAGGTAATTTATCCATCGAACCAGGTCAGACGCCAGTCCACGAACTTCGAAGGAAGTCGTCCGGTGAAAGCTGGGGGAAAAAACAAGGTCGGAATCAGCGCGGCTTAATGTATATGAGTTCCAAGGAAAGATTACGGGAAAGGGAGCAGGAGAAGAAGAGGACGAACGGGCCAACGGGAGGGAGTGGGACAGGTCTCGGCGTAACCCTGCCAGAATTCAACGGCGACTCGTTCATGGCTGAGAACGTCATTGGAGAAGAACCTGAAGAGACATCGAACAAGGAGGACAGAGCAGCTCCCTTGCGCGACTCAAGTCCAGCCATGGGCGGAGGGGGCGGTGGAATTGACTCGGGGCGGCTCATACCTTCACGGGACTCCTCTTTGCGGAAGCCAGCTTCAGCCAAGAAAAAACGGTCAACTCGGCGGTTGAGCCGACGACATAAGGAGAGCAAAAACAACACCATTGAGGAGCTAGACGAACAACAGCAGGATCGCAAGCGCGAACGAAGCAATCGAGACTCAAAGGCCAGTGAAGCGACATCCAAGATGACTGAAGCTTTGGACAGTCTGGAAATGCCGCGCTCCGCTACAAACAAGCATCATTCTGATGGTTCCAGGGATTGTTTGAGCGTACCAGAAAATGTTGAAGGAGTGGCTCCCGCACCAACTGTGAATCAACGAAAACCCAGACAAAGTCCTGAACACGGTACCCGATCATCAAGCCAGAATGGGCGATCCGGAAAGGAGCACCCTGAACCTCCGGATCCGGAGAAGCTCAAGCGAAGCAGCTTGCGGCTTAAGAGGTTATCTACACCCCTCACTCCTCGGTCGGAAAAAGAATCCAGGGCCAGTAGTTACTTTTCGAAGGCTGGCCCGCCCGAGCCATTCAAGCCGCAAGCATCAGCGGACGATCGACCAAATAGTGCTGATTCTATCGATGATGCTGTGGACGCATACCTCTGCTCTCCAAGGTTAACACAGAAGATTCGACATCCGCAGACTGGTAGAACCATCTCCTTCTCCGAGGTTGGCGACTCGGAGGGATTCGCTGTCTTTTGTTGTGTCGGCATGGGCTTGACAAGATACATCACGGCTTTCTATGACGAGCTTGCCTTGACTCTTAAATTACGTCTGATCACTCCAGATCGCCCAGGTGTTGGAGATAGCGAGCCATATAACGATGGAACAGCAACGCCACTCAGCTGGCCTGGTATGCCTCATCCTCCTAAATTACATGTGCCGAATTAATCATTATTAGACGATGTTTACGCAATATGTCAATCGCTAAAAATTACCAAATTCTCGATACTGGCCCACTCCGCAGGTGCGATCTACGCCCTTGCGACAGCGCTTCGGATGCCTCAGCATATCCGTGGTCGGATTCATCTTCTTGCTCCATGGATCCCACCGTCTCAACTGAGCGTCTTTGGAGCCCAAGTAGCTTCACCACCAGCGAATTCTATTCCAGCTTCGCAGCGTCTTTTGCGTGCCCTCCCCACTCCATTTCTCAAGGCTGCGAACTCAAGTTTTATGAATGCAACGAGTAGTTCAATAACAAGTAGCCTGCCCAAGCAGAAGCGTAACAAGCGCAAGTCAACTAGTCGTGATGCCCCTGCAACTTTAGGCCGAAATCCAGTCGCCCTAGGACTAGACAAAGAGATTCATGGCAGACATTCGACGATTTATCCAGATCCCTCCGAGCCAGGAGCCTTGAAGCGAGCAGCTATGGACCTGACAGATCAAAACCATGAAGACGCCATGATAGCCGCGGCAGCGAACACGCTTGCAGACAAGAAACGCCAAATGGCCTACGACGCGAGACTTACGCACGCGATTTGGGACTTGGCTACTTCTGGAGCTAATCCCGCAGTTGACCTCCTGGTCTGCTTGGAGCGCCGTCATACGATTGGCTTCAGATATGTTGATATTACCCGAGCAGTGGTCATCCATCACGGCAGCAAAGATACGAGAGTGCCGGTAGAGAATGTCAGGTGGTTGGGGAAGACGATGAAAAAGTGCGAAGTAAGGGTGCTCGAGGGAGAAGGACACGGACTCATGGCTTCGGCGGCTGTAATGGGAGGGGTATTGATGGAGATTGCCAGAGAGTGGGACGATTGGGTGAAAGTCTCGAATGCGGCAGGTAATGGGAAGGTTGAGAGTCGGGCCAGGACTTTGAAGGAGAAGGCTAGCGCTGGAGCCTTCAGATGAGCAAGCAGCCTAAGGGAAATGGGACGGCGAGAGGTAACATGCGCCTTGAGCTTTGGCGTTGGGGAGGGGCTTCAAAATGGAAGGCGGGCCGGGTGCTGCTCGCTGATCCATGTTTTGTAAAATTAATGAGCTTTCGAGAGCGAGGGCTTATCTGTACGATACGGCCCGCACGCGATGCAGCAACAGCTTTAGCATGCTGCTGTTACGATAATAATAGCTGGTTTCATATACTCCAACCCAGAGGATTTTTCAAGGCCAGGGGAAGAGGGAGGGGAGGGGACTTGCCTCGATTGCTTACAGCGCGATCGAAACATTCACCAACTCATACTTGTATCGTCTCCATCACCGTCCCCCTTTTTATCCGACCGATCCCTTGCAAAACAAACTTATTCCGAAGATTGCAAGCACATGGAGACGGCAGTGGGTACGAAATAGGATAAAATAGGTGATCAGCTGTACTTCTGGGCGTTGACAAACTTTAGGGCCTGCACGCAAAGCTGAGTGCAAGCGTAAAAGGATTATACAAGAACGCTTTGCTGCAAGCCTAATTATTAAAGACGACGATGCAATGCTTATTCCAATTCTCGATTCGGAAAAGATTTGGTAGTTGCAACAACCAGCGTCAAATTTTGCGGCCTTGTAAAAAAAGGTGTTCCTCGACCAAATCTCTCTCAACCTGAACCTTTTCTCGGTAACGATGATTTAATAATTACAATTGATACTGTCAAAGAACCTTCTTCTAAAGAAAGATATTTTTCTTTTTCCTGATACGTAGTAGATGGCTTTAATTCTAATAATAGTAGAGATTCAAACGATTCGTTGCGGAAGGTAAAAGACGAGTCAGATTCTGATAAACATAGTGATCGATGGTCAGATGTTTCATCGGATAATACGATTTTGGATGTTTCGGAAAAAAGTATACTCGTAGATCAATTATTCAAGTAAATATTTTTTTGGTTATAGTACTAGTAATTGCTATCGTATAAAATAATTTCCAGTATACTAGAAAAATCCGCATTCGCTTCCGATCCGCAATCACTTATGCCGACTTAAGACTTAAAGGATGTAAGGAGGCCCACCTAAGCGAGCCGACGATTAAGTACCGGTGGTAGTATATTTTGATAACTTGGCATGCCAAAACTCCTCGTCCCGTCTCTTTTCCAAAGCCAAGAGAGGCTGTGCCTTGCGCTATACCCAAATTCGGTCTTATGTAGAGTGACATTGGCAGAATTCCAAATTCCAAATTCCACTCAGGGCGACTGCTGTGGGTTGGGAACTGGACTCGCGAAGAGATACGAAGTACGAACTTGTACTTCTAATTTAAGATTTTAGATTTGAAGAGACGGATCGTTAGACCTCTGCATGGTATGGTCTGGGATACTATAGGAACAAAGTATGATATCTATGTAATTGGATTGCATCTTTCATACTTAGTCCGATTGCATCGGATAAAACGTACGAGGTAGTAGATAGGTAGAAGGCAAGTACTAAGTACTATCCTCCCCCATGAATACATGTCGGATCTAGTCTAGGCCTATAAATCATAGAGCGGTGGTTTTTGAATGGCTCAAAGCCCTGTCAACTTCATTATACAGACTAAAAACTGACTTAAATATACTTTTCAAGGCTGGATTCTTATACGTAGTAAGTTGATTATTAGTTTAAGCTCTGGTAAGATAATACCTTGCGAAATGATACTTTCGACATGTATTTATAGAAGGGGATAGTACCTAGACTTCTAGACTCTTATAGTAAAGGGGCGGTGTACGTAATATGTTTGTTTCACTTGAGATTCCGTTTCACTTGGCCCTCTTTGAATCGAAAATCATTCTAAATATATCTGTAATTAAAATATTCCTATTTACGCTTAGCTAGCCATGGCTAGTATATCCTGGAATCACTGGTATATAAGAAAAAAAGAATTGCTCTCCGTAAGGCTGGCCTGGCTGATCTCTGAATATCCATTTATATTTATGCACGTTGGCTATACATCGTTACTAGAACTTCCGTTCTGGATTGCTATCAAGTAGGGTTTTAACAGAGCGGAAGACGTGGACGCACATACCACGGTACAGGCCTAAGTATTACCCCTCGAGGGTGCCTCAAAAGTTTAGTTTACACTTTAAACCCCCTGGTTACCCTACCCTCGAAGGGTAATACTACGTAGTAGTACTACGTCGCAGGCGTAAGTATTACCCCTCGAGGGTAAGGAAAACAGGGGGTTTAAAGTGGAAACTAAACTTTTAAGGCACCCTCGAGGGGTAATACTTAGGCCTGTACCGTGGTACTACCGTACTACGTACGTAGTACTACGTACTTACGCCTGGGACGAAGTATATCCTTTACAGTACAGTAAGATTGAAAGGATGTAAGGAGGCCCACCTAAGCGAGCCGACGTTTTCGTAATGCTCGTACTTTTGATACTAGCGATAAAAAGTATATATACGAAATTGCCGAGCCACTTCGCAGTCACAACTATATAAGATGAGCCATTCCTCTTCGTACTTTCATTCTTATCCTACAGTCTCATCACAGTGCTTTACAATCTTCTCAGAAGCTCAATTCGTCAAAACGATCGATCACTTCTATCTACCAATTCCATCATGCGTTTCAATAACAACCTCTTCTTGCTCGCCTCCTTCCTCGGCGCCGCAACCGCTTTCCGTCGAACTTGCAGGCCCGACCTCACTGGCGATGTCCGAGGCACCGGCTTTTATACCAAGACAGCAACCGACCTTGATCGGGATGTCGCGACTGACTTTTGCACCACTGTACCAGAGCTGCGAGTCATGAACCCCGAATTCCCTTCCAAAGCAGGAGACATTTTCAGAGTTCCTTGCAAAATTCGAAAGCGCGATTGCTCTAGGATTCCGACCAATGAAAATGGATACTATACGGTCGTCGAAGGCGACTACCTATCAGATATTTCGATAGACTTCTGCACAGATACCCGCAATCTTGCAAAATTAAATCCCGACCTTGCCAATACGAACCTCGCCCCTGGCATGGTCCTCGAAGTTCCTTGCCCTTTCAACTAGCTACAATAAAGGCCTCATCCGCTCGCTCGCTTTGCCTACTGCGGGGCTATGATAGGCATAGGATCGGCGCCGGAATGTTGTTGTTATTGTTGTATTTATCAACGTTGGGCGGGTACCCAAAACGCCACTCTTGGACCCTGGGGACCTCTTATAGGGTGCGGCGACGTGATAAGTAGAGGAATTATATATAAAGTCGAACACTACATAAAACCCTTTTAAAAGCAATTCATAGTGCTCTGCGTCGAGTTTTCTCTTGATAACTATCGAATGCGTGTGGTCCTACGGGCGGCCTCGATCCGTTTAATAAAACATCGTTTTCCTTCGTCGTGGAGCTAAAAAGGCTCGCGTTCGTAGCCCTTAGATAGAGCCGGTGTGTTTGCAAAACGCTCTTTCGAAGGCGCAATACCGTGTTTTAGATCAGTCGAACTAAGCCCTTCCCATCTCTTACACCCGTTCCCCTTTTATCGCAAATCATCTTGGTCTTTTCAGTCGGTATGACCGTCAGGTATATATGACGACCTTAAGCGGTTACCTGAAGGAACTCACGGGAGCGCGGGGGGTTCACATGGGAGCTTCAGGAAGACCTCAAAGTAATAACTTAGAATCAACAACTACCGAGTGTAGAGGATGAAGGAAGCTGAGGTTTATATACACGAAGGTAGGAAGCGCCAAGGACTCGCGAACCATGGCTCATGGGTCAAAAGAGGGGAACGAGAGAATAAGAGAGAATACGAGAGAATGCAAGGGAAAAGGAAAAAGGAAGGAGGTAACTTGGCGCATGTGGGGATACGCCCAGGAGACCTGGCGTGTCGTCACAGTGTAGATCGTAGTCGGCGTGGTGTTCGAGAAGAGGGAGGAGGGAGGTTCGGAACCGTCGGTAATGGAAGATCTCCTCGAAAAGACGTCGCATATCGATTATTCAATTTCGGCTCTCCAAACACTCCATCTCTCTACCGCAAGAAAAAGAGAGAAAGAGAGCTGAAGGTTCGTAAGAGGCACCTCGTACAGGTAAAGAATCGTAGCCCCCTATTGGCGACGTATTAGATTGTGGGTTGGACTCTTTTCTAGAGCTGAGATCTATTGGGCAGTTGGACCGCTCCTCTTATCTTTTTTGATAATAGCGTTGAGCTCAATGTACGTAGTATTTCGAAGAGAAAGAGGGAGGTTAGTGGATAGAAACTAAGTCTCTCTTTATTACAAGATATTAAGGACTTGATTATTGATAAAATAAAAACATAATATCGATAAATCGATTCTCAAAGTGATGTGTCTTTATCTATATGGAATTTCGATAACTATTATTGCTAGTACTTATCTAGTAATAATACTAGGTCATAGGAGGAAGCTTTTGATGAGTGTGGTTATGGTTGATTGACTTGTATTTTCTAGAACTAGGAATTGGGGCGAGGTTGTAGCTCTTCTTCCACTTTACTTAGCAACACACCACTTCAATAGTGCAGGGGGAGAGCTTGTGTGTAAAGAGGGTGATATTTCCAAGTTCTCCTTGGTGGGAGAAGTCTATGTACGTACGGTACCTTAGTATGTACCGGTACTCCCTTAGCGCGCACGTGCGCTTAAGAGGCCTAGTAGCCTCAGGCCATCACAACACCCCTCTGTCGAGGCGTCAAAAAGCTCTCGGCAGCACCCAATTATCCACGGTACAGGCCTAAGTACTACAGTACCGGTAGATGCGACAAGATGTGTGTTTACAGAGGTACTAGTAGTACGTTCCGGGAGCGGAGGCACGGCTACATAGGACCCACTTGGCTTCGGGAAGTGATTTTCGCGGGTCCCGGTGGGGAGGCGGTGGGGGCTTCTGGGCTGTGGGCTGTGGCTAATGTGCGTTGAAGTGTGTGTCCCTTTAATCAAAGGACCGAAGAAATCCCTTCGAAACCCCTTCGTATCGTCGAGATCACCCTTCTTGCGACCAACTGTTTTCTTTCCTTTTCGGATAACTCTTGGGTTGAGAGTGATCTCCAGGATTGACGAGAATATCTTATCAACGCCCGACAAAACAACCAAATACGAGCCCGAACTACCTATCCTGGGAACCGATAGAGCTGCTCGCTGGTCACCAGGAGAAGAGGAGGAGCAGATCGTCAACACCATCAACTTTTTAATCGTATTGATTCGGGAAGCGGCATCCTAGGCCCAGGTTCAGGCTGCGAAAAGCTGACCAGATGCGTCGTGAGTCCTTGACAGATTTCTTGCTTGGTCAACCCCGCTGGCGATACATATCCCTCTATCTGTCGCTCAAATTCCCACCCCGCTCTAATTCATCAATCCCCCATCATCGCGAATTTGTTTTTCTCCCCAACTCTTCAAGACTCCGAGCTTCCATCCAGGACTAACATTACTACTACTTTTTCGAAGCAGTTCAAAGCACTCCCATTTTCGCGCGGCAGCCCCCTAGCAAGAGCACCATGCCGTCCATGCGCCGCATCAAGGTCTTCGGCCTCGTCGTCCTGGCCTTTGTGGTCACAATCCTATTCTTCACTAAAGGAGCGCGGGACGGGGGTGATATGGGGAATATGGGGGACTTTTACCAGAAGACGAAGATTGCAATGGAGAGGGCGCCGATTGGAGGTGGGTCGACGATGGCCGGGGCCGTCAGTAAAGAGGTAGGCTTCCCATCACATTTCATTCTTTGGGGCCCTCTGAGGCGTGATACGGCGTGAGGTTGAAATGGGACCTTCTGCTGATGGTAGGAAATAGGACGGGGAGGTTGCGAGGGCCATGAGTGAGAGGCTGAAGGAGGCCGCGCAGGTGGCTAAGGACAACGCGAATGCCAAATCCCCGAAGCCGGATGCGCCGAGCAAGATTGTCGGCGTGGGCAGCGCAGCAGACGGCGCGGGGAAGGGCGTCGCGGGCAGGAAGAAGTATGCTGTAGGAGGCGAGGAGGCGCAGGAGCCTATCCAGGAGGAGAAGCCGACCCAGCAAGAGCAGGAGGTGCAGGCGGAGCTGAACAGTATCTTGAGGAAGTCGCCGAGTAAGTCCTTCCGCTACTTCCGGGTTGGACTGGCGTGGTGGATTTTGCTGATGGGCGGAATGCAGTAATCATCTTTTCGAAATCATTCTGTCCGCACTCGAAACGCGCCAAAACTATCCTCCTGGAGAAGTACCTCATCGAACCCCAGCCCTACGTGGTAGAGCTCAATCAGCACGACCTCGGCCCGCAGCTCCAAGCCAAGCTCGCGGAGCTTACAGGCAGGAAGACGGTACCGAATGTGTTGATCAACGGGGTATCGATTGGAGGCGGAGACGAGGTTGCGGAGTTGGACTCGGGTGGGACCTTAATTGACAGGGTGAGGGACCTTGGGGGGAAGAGGATGGCGGAGGTGAAGATCAGGCCGATTGGGGACAGTAAGGAGGACGAGAAGCAGGTGGAAAAGACGGAGGAGAAGGTGAATGGGCATGGCTTGAGAAGATGATATACCTCTGTCTGGAAACCTTGCGAGATGGGATAAGTGTATGAAGCAAGAGGTGGTGGGCGCAACATTTTGTGGGGCGTTTGGGACCTGGATAGGATCGCATGCACTTGCGAAGGCGTTCTAATTTTCTTCTCTCTTTTTTCGTTTTCTTTGGCTGGAAGTGAGTGCGTTACTTGTTAATGTGTATGTTGGCTGGATGGTTGGTTGCTGGGAACGGAATACCAATCGCGGCCTGTATCTGCACTATTGAATAGACAGTGGTTATCCGAGATGGAGGAATCGATCGATTGTTAGTGAAAGGAGGGTTCGTCGTTTCTCAATATTCCAGTTCTTGGTTTCGACGAGGTGGGGAGGGGGGGGCGGGAGGGGGGCATGCATTGTTATCTGATCATTCTGCTAGATACATGTAGGCGTATGCATATCTATTGACCATATTCTGATCTCTGGATAGCTAGATGTGTAATAGTCAGTGCACTGACTTTGTGACCTGCGGGCTCTCGGTCACAGTCAGGACAAGCAAGTGTCCCATTTCAATTATTTCAACTTGTATTAGAAATAACTTAATAACGAATAAAGCTATGATATTAAAAATTTAATACTTTTAAAGAGCTCGATTCCGCCGATTGATGCATTCAATTTTATCAATATAGCTCTTTTTATTATCAAGTAATTTAAGTTGCAAATCGTAAAAAAAAAAAGGTTTTTGATTCTTTATCGAAAAGAATCGAAAATCGCGATTTGTATTAAGAATAAGTCAATAAC